GTCAATTTTGAACTGTAATATCTCAGTGAATGCTATTTGGATTGTAGGGTTTTTCCTACAACTACTTACTTTAGAAACATTTTATTTCTTTATTGATTATTTTGTATTATACATTTTTGTTAGGAAATTAACTTTTCATAACTGCATTATCGAGCAGCCGTCCAAAATCCATTTGCTTGGGTTTTTTATGTTAATTCTTTCATTTTGATTTTTACTTATCATCAACAGGCAAAAATATCGTCTATATATCTGTACCAAAAATGAATATGTTTTTTCCCGACCTGGGTGTTTATGTGGGACAATGTAGGACAATGATTCGACGTTTTAAAATCATTATTTGGCATGCAACCACAAGTTCCCGAATCTAAACGATACGGAAATTTTGAACTATGCAAGGAAAGGTTGCAAACTCAATCATTTGGAATCCTTGGAAATTCACAAGCATAAAATTGCGGTTGCAACCTGTTAAATGATCAAATCGATTTAGTTTTCTCACCGGTTTTCAAATTAGCGAATCCACATTGTCACAAGTAAACAAAATTCAGGTTCCCAATTGAGTTAAGTACCTCTATTATTAGGTACCTAGAGTGGCGTTATATAAAGGCTAATGAAGGTAATCAATTATTTTAAGTTTAATATATAAGTTTGAAAATGTCTTTATAGCATGAAACTGCAGTAACGTTAGTTAAAAATAAAAGTAGTAAAACTAATAGAAAATCTCAAATCTCATTTTTTCATCACAATATATATATATTTGAGATTCGTTCTTTAGATTATAAACTTAAACTTTTGTTATACCATTGGTGCAAAATATTCAATGAAACCATGAAGTTACTTTCAAACCTCTTTTTCGTGAACTTGTCGAAATTCACTGACAATTTTTTTTTATTTTCGTGGTGAGTGAATTTGCAAAATGATCTTTATCTTATTATTTCACCAGAAACATAACTCATAGAGGATATAAATCAATCGTCAATATTGAATTAGTTCAGTATTTATTTCGAAATATCACGACAAAAAAGGCGAGTAAAGACTCGTCTGAAAATACTGTTCTATAGCTAAACACATGCTGTGTTTTTCTAAAACTGTTTAATGAAAATCTCACAAAGAAGCAATTCTTGAATTAACAGTTACACTGAACAATTCACCATTTTGAAATCGGATGGGTCACATATTGAAATCAGCTCACTTCAGTAAATTATATAATCTACCATTGCACTTTTACATTCACCATTATCCATTTCCTACAATATCCCCTCAGAAATGTCTCTTCGTTGTTATATATGTTAGCAACAAAGAAGTAATTTCAGATATCAATCATCATTCACATCAACAGAAACTTAAAGATCAAATATTATATCCTTGAGATACAGAACCGTTCGATAGTGAATGAATAAATAGTCTTTGAAAATATGTAGTTAAACAGAAATTACAAACACACTTAACTGAGTATGATATGTCATTCCCGAGTTATAAAGAAGGGTGGAGATGATAATTATCACCATAAAGTGATACATATTGTTGAGTTGTAAACAACAATCTGAAAGTGGTGTTACGTATCTTGAATTTATGTCACCGTATTCTGTATTCTGGGTCTGAAAGTTGAAAACAGTGATCCAGTCGAGTAGCTGATAAGATTTCAGCTCATAGTAGCCGATCACGAGTTTTACAATTCTCATCTGTTGTTTCATCTAGTTGCATAATTTTCATCACAAATTTTTTTTAATTCATCAAACGTTCAGTGATAATGTTCAAATTTGCCCATTTGGAAATATTCCAAATGATTTGTCTTGATAAGCTAGACATCTTCATTAGACGGATACTGTGGAGAACCAGCTTGCGAGCTGAAGAAGTTATTATAGTCGTTAAATTGATGGATGTAGCCGTTATTACATGGTAGGAAATCATAATGAAAAAAGAGAAATGAAACTTTCTGTTTTTTCCACTTTTATTTGTAACTACCGTTACTGCAGTTTCGTCCTATACGGACATTTTCAAACTTATACAATAAACTAACAATTATTCATTTCATTAACCATTATATACCACCCCTGTAGGTACTAATAGAGGTACTTGGCTTGATTGAGTACCTGAATTTACAGTTTACAATACGGATCTGCCAATTTAAAAACCGGCGAGTAAAGTAAATCGATTGATCACACTCGCACCCGCAATGTTTATGCTTGTGAATTTCCAAGGATTCTAAATAATTGAGTTTGTAACCCTTCCATGCCTAGTGAAAAATTTCCGTATCGTTTAGATTCGGAAACTTGTGGTTGCATTCCAGTGAATGATTTGAAAACGTCGAATCATTTTTTCCCAGTCTTAAGGATCTTACATGTTCAGCATACCGTTTTTGGAAATTTCGGCCAGATTGTCCCACATAAACACTATTCATCTCCGGACACTCAAGCTTATAAACTTCAGATTTCTCCAACTTGTCCACCTTATCTTTGGCATTGAAAAGGAAATGAGATAACCTGGCATGTGGACTGAATGCCACTTCTACATTGTTTTTTCTGAAGAAACCCGCAATTATTTCAGTTCTTTTTCCAAAATATGTAAGCGTTACCCATTTCTTGATTTCTGGTTGTGTGACCTGAGGGTATATTAATCTGTAAGTGAATTTCCGACTTTTTTTCCTGATAAACTTCTGGATAGTATCTGCGTTGAAACGATTATTATGACCTATCTGTTTGATAAAGATAATGGATGGTTCTGAATCAAGCAGTAGAGAAACATGCATAATAAAAACTATACAACAAAAAATAAGAAATAATGATCTTGTTTTCACGAAAGCTGATAAATCGAATGTCATTGTTATCCTTGAACGAGAAACATATGTTCAGAAAATTGAGTCAGTCATTTGAAATGAAAACCTTATTGTCATCAAGAAAGACCCAACGAAAAATAGTCAAAATGAACTGAAAATTTTCCTCTTAGATACTAAATAACTTTCACGGAATCAGAGAAACGGAGAATCACCAACATGAACCCCTCTTGCCCTAAACTATATGGCCTGATAAAAACACATAAAGAAGATAACCCCATAAGACCGGTAGTTTCGTATATAAACAGTCCGGTAAGAGAACTAGGAATACGTCTTAACAAGTTGTTCAAAAATATTACCAATTTCGCCCCACCTCAGAGCATTGAAAATTCACTGACTTTAGTAGATAACATAAGGAACCAAACCAATTTTACTTTCATTCGATGTAAAGAGTATGTCCTCCAACATACCGTACAACGAGTGTAAGCCCCTCATTTTAGACATATTAGATCAAGCCAAAATAGACCATATCACTTCTTTTGAAGTTTCAACAGCTTTCTATGTGTGCCTAAATCAGAGCTACCTACAGTTCAACAACAAATATTATAAACAGGATTCAGGTTTACCAATGGGCTCACCCCTCAGTCCACTTTCAGCAGACATATTTATGAACAACTTGGAGACCACTATAGTAAATTCCCACCTGAGTAGAAAACATATTCATTTCTGGTACAGATATGTAGACGATCAATCACGCCAACTACCTCTATTAGTACCTACAGGGTACCTATCATTGTTATTTTATTGTATAAGTTTGAAAATGTCCGTATAGAATGAAACTGCAGTAACGTTAGTCACAAATAAAAGTGGTAAAAAACATTTCTTCATTATAGTCATCTTCAACCAGTACAAGAATACTCACTTTGAAAAAAAAAAACTCACTTATTCACATCACTGGTAGATGTACGAACTAATGATTTTTTTTAATGTATATGTTCTGATGAACCACTTTAGCCTTAGAGTCTTTTTTGCTATGGTGTCCATAAAGATGATGATCTTCATGTTTATATTGGTGATAGTGTTCATTCCAGTTTTGTTGCGAATGACGATGCTTATCATGGTGTTCATGTCCATGTTTATGATCATGTTTCTGATTACCACTGTGAACATGAGAATGTTCTCCTCTATGGTTGTGTCCATGACTGTGCCTCCCACGATGATCATGTTTCTGCTGATGGAAGTGATCGTGGTTATGATCCTGTTGATGATCATGCTGGTGAAAATTTTGATGTTCATGACGGTGACTACCTTCATGGGTGTGGAAGTGTTCACCAATGTGGTGATGAGCATGGTGTCCTAGATGATGATGGTCATGCTTACTGCTGTCTTGATGGGAATGTCCATGGTCGTGTAAATGCTCTTGACGATGCTTATGTAGATGATCCTGTTTGTGCTCATGCTCGTGGAGATGTTCATGTTGATGATAATGAATTTCCTTCCGTTTTTGATGCTTCAATCCCTCGTTCACCTCTTGTTTTTCCGGTGAATATGGAACAGTATCAGTGTAGCTAACAAGTGTTTGACTGACAGTTTGGTCCTCAACGTCAATTGGTTCGTGAAATGATGCTTTTCCAGATTCCAAGTACATATTTACATTTTGAGGTTGTTTTCCTTCACTATTATCTAGTATTTTCTCTGGAAATTCGTAGAAACCTTGTTCAGGTTTATTAATTTGGTCTGTTTGTTCGGAAACACTGGCAATTACATTCAGTGGACCATACATCTTGCTATATCCATGAAGTTTTTCATTTTCGTCGTCTAGAAGCAATATATTGGTGAAGAGCTGTTTTGAGGGTTTGAAAGCTCTTTTATCGATTTCATCTCTCACCGCTGTATTATTATTATTTCCAACGGGTCTAGTTGTGACCAATTCTTCAATAGAAGCATCAGTAACCAAGTATGATTTACTTTGGTCGATGCAGTAAATCATGAGTAAAGTTGCCAGTATCTGAAAATAAGGAAACAGTCATTGATGAAAAAAAGTATGATAATTATTGAATAACAGAGTAAACAAGGAATGTGTTTTTTGATTTTTACAAGAATAAATACTCACCCAAACTCTCATGGTGTATAACTCAAGCATCACCACCGACGCTATGAGTGGATGAGAGTTCTCACTAACAGCATTTATATTTCATATAAAAATAATTGGTCCACCTCTACGAGTGCTTTGTTAAGTATTGTCTGATGGCCGTTCAGCTGAGATTATTATATATATTTATAGGAAGAAATTCGGTTCTTCTTCATGAGCGTAGGCTGCAGAAATAATTTGATGCAATGAAAATTGGGAATTTCAAAATTGCCTCATACAGTGCCTGATCAGAAAAATATTTTGGTGTCATATACAATTTTTTTCTGTTGTCAATTTATGTTGAATGCTGGATGGAGGTTATATAATTATTGTTCATTAGTGAACAACGCTGCAGTAACGAATAAATATAGTTTAAAAGTCTAAAAAACACCCTTTTAAAATTACATCGAACTGAAAAGTTAAAAATATTTTTTAAATGAGCTTAAAAGAATAACGAACGAAAAATACTAGTGTTATTGTGAAAAAAGCGACGGTCGCTTGATAATAAAAAAATATGACACAAAACGCCCACGCTTTTTTCAAAAAATTCAAGTATTTTTCGTTGGTTATTGTTTTAAGCTTATTTAAAAAAATATTTTCAACTTTTTAGTTC